ATGGACTCAAACGTGGCAACAGTAGTGAGGTTGGCCCAGGATTGGGCAGTGTTTTGTTCTGCTGTGTATAAGGTCGCTATGGGACGGTACCGACTCGATGGCACCTAAGAACAACAACAACAACATACTCAGAGAGAGTCAGAGAAATAGTTTTTCAACTGGGGTAATGAATGAACCTCCCTGTGGCTCTTTGGCAGAGACAGAATTTGAATTTAGTCATGAAAATCTTCAACAGGTGAAGATAGGAGCAAGATTGTTGCTGTTGTTATTAAGTGCTGTCGTGTCGGTTCCAACTCATAGCGACCCTATATAGATTTTTTAAGGAGAGGCTGGTGAGTTTGAACCTCTGATCTTGTAGTTTAAACGACCTTGCAATCCAGTGCAGGAACCCATGGCACCACCCTAGGACTTCTGGAGCATGATTGTTGTTGTTGTTAAGTGCTGTTGAGTCATTTCTGACCCATAGAGACCCTGTATAGGGTTTCCAAGGAGCTGCTGGTGAGCTTGAACCACTGACCTTGTGGTTCAAATAACTTCGTAGTCCAGCGCATTAGCCAACAGAGCCACACAAGGACTCTTGGAGCAAGATAGTGAACAATACATAGGCAGAGTAAACAGATAGAAAGAAGCATGGAATTATGTTGAGCTCAGCTAAGGAATGTTGATCGTCTTACATTTTATTTTTTAATTAGAATGTAAATAGATCTTTATCTCTAAAATTTTCTATTTTAAAAAACTCTTTATTGTGAATTGGGTGAAGTTATAGAGAACAGATCTGTTTTTGATTCCACAATTCATATACATTTATTTCATCTCATGGGTTGCAATCTCCACACTATAACTTCACTTATCCCACTTCCTCCCTGTGTCCCTTATTTCCATTCACCCTTCTTTCCTAACCCTTGTGAACTTAGCTCTTGAGTAAAGGCTATCTTGTGAGCTCAAGTGGTTATTTAAGGTGTGTGTACCTCCCTGGTGTTACTGTGCTTCAAATAGATCTATTAACTGAGTCACGGGGTGAGTTAATTTTCAGACCTTGAAGGGTCGCTAAGAGCCATAGTCTCAGGGGTTCTACAGCTCTATCTGACCAGTAAGCCTTATCTTCTTTATGATTTTGAGTTTTGTTCCACTTTTTTTTTTTTCCCCACTCTATCCAGGGTCTTCCAATGTGAGCCCTTTCAGAGCACTTGGTGGTGGTAGCCATGTATCATTGAGTTCTTTTGATGTCAGGATCATGGAGATAGATGTTCAAGTTGTCCATTAATCCATCAGAATAATTGTTTCCACGTGTCTTTGATTATTTTTTTCTCTTCTTTCCTCCAGATAGGGAGAAACCAATAGTTGTACTTAGATGACCACACACAAACTTTTAAGACTCCAGTCGTTCCTCACCAAAGTAGGATATAGAACATTGTCTTTGTGTGATGCCAGTTGACCATGGTGTCCCCTGAGACTACGGTCCTGAGTAATGTGATAGGATAAATAATCATGAAAGTCAACAAAACCAAGGTTTGAATGCTGGCTCTACCACTTACTAGAAGGACAGGTTACTTAATTTCTGTATACTGCTGTGTTTACTTTTGCAAATGGAAACAATAGTATGTAAAATCATAAAATGATTTGTTGGTGTTAAGTGGTTCCAACTCATAGTGACCTTGTATAGGGTTTCTAAGGAGTAACCGGTGGGTTTGAACTTGTACCACACCAGGACTCCATAAAATCATTACGGAGAATAAATGAAATAACAATATCTTGTCAAGGCATTGCTTCAGGGCTCATCTGGTAGAGGATGCTCCAACAATGCTGGCTTCTGATCCTTAAATCAAACTTACAGTAAGGAAATTCATATAAAGTTCTTAGCCAGAACATGAAAGATTTGCATTCAGAATACCTATTTCTTGGAAACCAATTCTAGTTTAATATCATCCACAAAAACTTATTTTGGCACATGAGTGGGAACATACTAGTAATAACTGTCTTAAGGTTGAGGAATTAGAACATGCATTCAAATAAACAAATAAAAAATCATAATGCTTTCAGTATAAAAGGATTATTGGTTTTAAGAAAAAACATTTATTTTGCTATGTGATTGAATTTACCCATACTAAATCATTCTTCTTTTTCTTCCTAAAATGAAATATTGACATCCAGAAAGCTACTTTATCCATGCCGGTGACAGCACTAATGTCAGCCTAGAAAGTTGAGATTAATCTGAATCAATGAAAAATTTAGAAGGACTATTGACAAAATGAGGACAGTAAATATCAAAGTACAGATTAAAAATGAAATTAATCCAGGTGAGCCAGAACATCATGCTTCCATTTTTTAAAAATTCCATGACATGTTCATAAATTTTGTTGGCACATCTCTGGAGAAGGAAATCTTAGTAGCCAATGGTGAAAATGGATGTTAAAAGAAACTGGATTTTATAGGGATAAGAATAGTAAAAATAAATAAATAAATAAATAAAGGTCCACATTGTGAGAAATGAGGTCTTTGATCCTTCATTCATTTACCCTTAATTCAACAACAAAATAAAATAAAATAAAGAAGTCCTGGTATGGTGCTGTGGGCTAATGCGTCAGACTGCAAAGTCATTTGAACTGCAAGGTTGGTGGTTCAAGCTCACCAGCCACTCCTTGGAAACCCTATAAAGGGTCTCTATGGGTCGGAATCGACTCAGTAGTATTTAACATGAACAACAACTCTAAAATAGCATCCTGTGTGGTGCTGTAGGTTAGTGTACTGGACCTCAAAGTCGCTTTTAACTGCAAGGTTAGTGGTTCAAACTTACCAACTGCTCTTTGGAAACCCTATTCAGGGTGGCTGTGAGTCAGAACGGACTCAAATGCAGTTAGCAACAATATATTGTGTATATATACACATGGGTCAGAGCTGACGCTATGGCACTTAACTCTGTGTATTTAGGATAAAATGAGTAAAAACACAGGGTTCCCATATAAAGTTGATTTTAGTATGTGTAGATCCAGAAAATCTTTCACTTATATGTTCTCTTCAGATGTTCACGGTTTACAGGGAAAACAGACAAGCTAATCAGACAATGAATGCAGCAATATTCCATTAGGTTGTGGAATAGGTGATACTTGACCTGAGCCTTGAAGGATGAATTGGCCTGAAAAAGGTAAAGACAGCTAACCCTAGTGTGGTGCTGTAGGATAAACACTGGACCACAATGTTGGTTTGAACAGTAAGATAGGCAGTTCAAATCCACCAGCTGCTCCTTGGAAACCCTAAACAGGGTGGCTATGAATTGCAACTGAGTCCACAGCACTTAAAAACAACAACAAGCCTGCTGTTAGGGTTTCCACATTTCTGGAAGTTCATCCATTTTAAGCTTAGGAAATCACACTAAAAACTCTAGGTTTTTCTTTGTCTCCTGGCTCCAAGTGACCTCTTAGTAGTATTTTACAATTAAAATATTTTATTATTTTTGGTGACAGTTGACATTAGGCTCCTATTGAACAATTTCTAAGTAATTTGTTCTATGACATTGATGGCATATATCACAGTGCATGAACTTTCTCATCATTTCCCTTCTCTGGTTGTTTTGTTTCCGGTAATCTAGTTTCCTTGCCCCCCCACCCCCACCCCACCACCATGCCTTCACATCTTTGCTTTTGAGTAAATGTTGACTGTCTCATAGATAATTTTGCAAAGAAGCACAGGACTCACAAAAGGTATTGCTCATTTTATGAGTCAATCTGTTATTTAACTAAAAGATGACTACATGGAATAGTTTTGATTCAAGGTTTAATGAACAGCCTTTAATGAATGGTAGCCTTGAGGAGTCCTCCAGTCTGAATTAGTCTAGTGTCTGACTCTTACTTTAATAAAAGATTATGATCTTCTAGTTTATGATCATTAACTGTATTTCTTGCAATTGGAGTCACAGCTAGACTTGACATTTCTCAATCTAGGAAAGTAAAACATCTAGAATGAATAAATGAAGTAAAGTTATTCAATTCTGGGCTTGTTCATGCAGCTATTTACATTCCTTCTCCTCCATGTCTCACCTCTTGGGTTAATGCGCTGGACTGCAAGGTCGGTTTGAATCGCAAGGTCGGTGGTTCAAGCTCACCAGCCACTCCTCTGAAACCCTATACAGGGTCATTATGAGTTGGAAGTGACTCCATGGCACTTAGCAACAACAACAACAACAGCAAGCATATACAATTTGCGGGGCTCTCTTTAAGAAGAATATCAAATTAAAGTTAGAAAAGTCATTATTAAAATCTCTTGAGTAATATCAGGAATCTTAACTTCCTCTAACATGACTTCATTTCAAACATCTTGAACTACAATATCCCATTTTTTGGCTTAATTTTTCATCTCTTTTACCAACTATTAAATGAAGCAGATAAGGCCAAAGGTAGATTCATGATGTGTTGTCTGCAAAGCTTAGACAATGTGTGGGAATCTCTTTAAGAAAAATAATATCAAATTAAAATTAGAAAGTCATTATCAAAATGAATATTTTTATATCAATATTCTGGGACAACTGGATCTTGATATGCAAAAGAAAGATTTTGGACCCATACCTACACCATATAAAGAAATTAACTGGAAAAACAAACAAACACACATAAAGTAATGATCAACATCATTAGATACTGTCATTGCTTAGTGCTATGGAGCCGAGTAGACTCATAATTACAAATAAATATAAAAAAAAGAAATATTTTTTCAATTTTATAGTTCCAGATAGGAACTATATTGTTGTTGTTAAGTGCTGTTGAGTTGATTCCTACTCAGAATGACCTTGTCTAGGTTTTCTGAGGAGCAGCTGGTGAGTTTGAACTGCCTACCTTGGGGTTAGCAGCCCAGTGCTACTCTGACCCCCATAATATTTGAGATTTCCTGGTGTGGCGCAGCAAGATAATGCACTGGACCACAAGGTTGGCTTGAACCGCAAGGTTGGCTGTTCAAATTAACCAGTTCTGAAACCCTAGACATAAACCCCTCCTCAGAAACCCTAGACCAGATCACTATGAGTACGAATTGACTCGATGGCATTTAACAATAACAGTATAGTTCCTATGTGGAGACTTGGTGACATGGTATACATTTTGCACTGCTAACTGCAAGGTCAGAAGTTTGAATACACCATTTGCACATTGGGAGAAAGATGAGGCTTTCTACTCCCATAAAGATTGGCAGCTTCAGAAACTCTGTACAGGGTCATTATGAATTGGAACTAACATGACAGCATGCAAAAACATATAGTTCTTATGTTGTTGCTGTTGTTGTTAAGTGTCAGTGAGTCGGTTCTGACTCATAGCTACCCTATATAGGGTTTCTGAGGAGGCACTATTGTGTTTGAACCACCGATCTTGCGGTTCAAGCCCACTGTGTGTCGAGTACTTTGTCCTACAGCACTCCATCAGGACTCCATAATTCCTATAGTAGTTGCATTCTTTTGAGTGAGCATTCTTTTTGAGAAAGTACTATCTTCCTACATAGTTATGGATTCTTTGTAACAAAACTTTGATTCTCATTCAGTTTTGTATCTCCAAGTGGAATAATGCCCGTATGAATTATTGAAATCAGAAGCAAGCAATTATGCTAACATTATAGGACTTTATGAGACAAAGGCAAGAATGAGTGCTTAGATAATGAAGAGACGGTGACCTATATTTTATAATATTGACTTTGTAATTGTGTAAAGAATTAGGCCATGCCTGAAAACAAAGGAATATGCACACATATACATCAAATTCCCTATCCTGTTAATGAACCACACTTGTGGAATTATTAGTTACTCCACTCAAATTAAGCAAGAAAATTAGACTGTCCTCTGGCTACCTTTTGTTTTATGGATAATTGTTTTCCACTACTGAACATACTTCATGGCCCATGACACTCGTTTTGATTGTCTCAAGGATTAATAGAAGACCAGGAGACAATTCAATGTAGAGACGACTAGAGGTTTAGATTTGATTCTATCCCTCGATTCATGTTTAATTTGGCTGAAAGATACTATTATTTTGATACATGAGACACAGTGCTCATATATGAAAGAAACAATCAAGATACAAAGAAATCATGTTCTAAAAGAAAGATGGAAACTATATTTGTGATTTAAAAATGTAAAGTGGTCTCGAGTTGCTTTACATTGTTACTGTTGTTGCTAAGTACCATGGAGTTGGTTCCGACTCATAGCGACCCTGCACAGGGTTTCTCAGGCTGCAAATCTTTACTGGAGCAGAAAGCCTCATATTTCTCCTGCGGAACAGCTGGTAGTTTCAAACTGCTGTCCTTGAGGTTAGTAGCCCAATTCGTAACCACTACACATAATAAAATGCAGCTTACCCTTCTTGCCAATGGGTCCACTCTTGCCAATATTACCCTGTTCTCCCATGTCACCCAGTTCTCCTTTAATTCCTGAAAGAAAAAGAAGAGAGAGAGAGAGAGAGAGAGAGAGAGAGAAAAGGCATGCTATCTTTTTATCCTTCGGATATTTTTCCCTTCTTAAAGGTATGGCTTATTTGAGAGTAAGTAAAAATGTACTGAGGCACAACCATAGAAATCTTTATTAAACACAAATATCAAAATGTAAAACTATTGGTTCTTGACACACCCTCCATGGAGGTCTGTATAGTTTTGAAGGTGATGTTTCCATCTCTCTAATCTTCCCCCATAGAAATCTGTGCTCCTCCATTTGTATCACATCAAAACACCAGTTTGGGCATCCTTGAGGGATGCCCAAACCTTGTTCCTTCTCAATGTTCCTTAAGTTTTGTTTGTTTTTTTTGAGTGTTTTCATTTTTATTGAACTATAAGGCAACAGCAAAGTTAACATAACACAATATCCATTCACTCCACATCAGCATTCCTTCTTATACCAGTGAAAAGTGATCAATTCAACAGGCAGAGACTCAAGGGCTCCTAATAACTCTGCACCTAGCATGGCTGCTTGTCCCAAGGGCCAGGCCTGAACATCACAAACGCAGGCTTCTCTTAAAGATGCAGGCTTTGCTCTACTGCTGTAGACTTGGTCTTTTGACCTGGATGTTTTTTCTCTTTCAATTCTGGGTTGCTATTTTTAACAATTTGATGGCTCCGCCACAATACCAAAGCATCACCCAAAAATTGGAGTTCAATTTGATTAAAATATAATCTGAGATGTTTGGCCTAGAAGTATAAAGGAAAAGGCGCCCTAAACGACTATCTGACTTTTCCAGTCTACCTGTAAGAATGAAGGGGAACTGGGAAGAGGAGAAATCTACATGCATCACTGAAGGCATCACTGCTTGGAGCCTCCAGACCAGTTGACCTCTCTCATTGTTCCCTACTTCCCTGACAGCTGCTCATGGAGTTCGGGCACATAATCATCCCATTTGGCTTGGTAACACGTGCCAGCAACTGGGGACCCGAGCTCGTACTTTTTGCGGAAAGATGCCACCTTGAACTTGCCACGGTGGTCTCCAGATTGATTGCTGACAATGGGTTCGTCACACTTTAGTGGCCTGTCCTGCTCGTAGACCAGCCAGACATAGCGGTGGAGGCCTGTGTCCTTGGGAGGCCCGGAACCCACATAATCGGAGAGGACCGTGCCACTGGTGACGTCGTTGCCCTTCATGTTGACCACCAGAAAATGGTGCCATTCCCTGAATTTGGGGTCCTTCCTGCTGGGAGCATCTGGGTCTGTCAAGACCAAGGTGTAGGGTTTACCGGAATCGAGGCCATCCCATGTAATGTTGATAGGGAGGTTCTTCACCTGGGTGGGTGTCAGCACTTTGCCTAGCTCATCCACACGTCCTAGCTAGTCCGCACCTCCGTATTTGACCTGCAGTAGGTGCTGTGGCTGCCCATCCACTTCCTGCAGGCTCAAGGGCCCAGACCACTTGCTGAGGTCCACCGGCATCGCAGGGTCGAGCAGAGCAGACAGCCAGAAGTACAATAGCAGGAGGGGCACACGACAGCCCAGCAGCAACCACAAACTCTGTTCTTCAAGTTTTGGGAACAAAAAGAAGTATGAAGGGGCAGAAACAGGATGGAGTTAGGTCTCCCAACGAAATGCTCATCAGACAACTCTTGCTGCTGTCAAAAAATGAAGTGGTGCTTGTCATGATGAAAAAAAATCCTTGGTGCAAGTTTTCTGGCCTTTTTCTCACTAATGCTGTTTTCAATTTTTGTAAAATATTTTTCCTACGAACCCTCATGATCATCCAGTTTCCTTTGAGAAAATCTCTCAAGATGACCCCTTGAGAATCCCAAAAAACAATTGCCATAACCTTCTGCCTTGAATTGAACTGGATGCAAAGTCCTTCAGAAGCCACCGTCTTCACTGGACTTATTTTGAAGTCACCCTAATGAGGCTAAGACACGTGTAAGTACTAAGAGACCTTGTCTGTGACCATCCACTGACTGCAGAGATATGTCCCAACACATTTTGTTTGGAATAAACCTGTACATGTATAAACTGGAATCCTTTAGCAATACTTTTTGACTTACCTTCATATATAATATCCACTTTAAGTAAGTATCAAAAAGTGAATTAGGCTCCCTGTGACATATACGATTGTATACTATGTTGTATATTTCAATGGAATTAAGAGTACATGTATTAAAATGTGGCTGAGCATCACAACATGGATATGAAAGCTTTCAAATGCTTACTGATGAAGAATTTCTAAAATGACAGCAGCGGTGTTGGTAGTGTGGGCTGTGGAGTCGGTTCCGACTCATAGTGACCCCATACAGTGTTTCCAAGTAGACAGCCTCGTCTTTCTCCTGTGAAACGGCTGGTAGTTTGACCTTGAGGTTTGCAGCCTGATTCATAACCACTATGCTGTATCAGAGCTCCTTAGAATCACAACAGTAGAGAACATTGAATCTAGCGGTCAGATGAGGGGCCTCTAGGACAGAAGTCTTATGCTTGAGTCTGACTCTGCTTCACATTCATTCTGGCTTCACTTTGTAGTTCTATTTCTATTTTAAATCAGGGTCTGGTGATGTTCCACACTTGAAAACAGGGGAGAGAAAATACAGTTATGAAACCTAGCTATCAAAGAGACATCAGCAATGAACCCACTCAGTTATTCCCCCAAAAGACATGATTGGGGGGTGTCACTGAGTTCCGTCAAAACTGTCATTATTTTTGTCTATTTTCTATGATGACCTGGAAAACATGTACCGGGTACAAAGCTATATTTTTGTGAGAATAATTCTACAATTGATAAAGCTGTTTCTAGAACAAGAAAATTTTAAGTCAGCATCTTTCAAATTGAGGACTTAAGGGTCTATGAGTCTTTTCTTCCCCCTAAACTGCTCAAGATGTTAAAATAGTGGTCCAGTGTAGCAGTTGACTGGAAATATTTCAATGACACATGCTTACACAGCAAAATCCAGAAACGGTTTTAGCGAGGTGACTCTCGGCTGAGTAAAATGATCCCAAATAGCCTTGTTATTGTCCTCCTTCCCTATGCTCCTGCTCCAACAACCCATTGCTTACCCTACTGTATTACCCCTCTGTGTAAAGCAAACAGAATAAGAGAAATACAAGGATCTTGGAGAAAGGTGAGGACATCAATGAATTCAGGGGCTATTTCTGTTCCTTTCTAGCTTCCTCTTTCAGTTCTGGGCCAGCCAAAAAGGGTTGCTAAGCAGCGGCTTCTGAAGGGACATGGTTATAAACACAGCTGCATCTCTGAAACTCCTCATGTTTTTAGACATTCCCAGGGACTGCTATTCCCTGGGTTCCCAGAGTATCCATCCCAGCCAGCACTAAGGATGCAGCTTGAAAAATGAAGCCGAGGCCTGTTGACAGGTGGTCTCATAGGAGCTCTCGGGTGGTGAGTTAATTTCGTGTCTGTAACATATTTCATACATCTCTAGAGAAAAGGGGTTTATGCAAGCTGCTAATTTCTTGTGCAAAGGTCAGGAGAGGGAGACAAGCAGTTCTGACCTTACAGTGTACATTTCATTTCATTTTACTTACCTTTTGGTCCCATGTGTCCCACCTTGCCAGACCTTCCCTCCTCTCCTGGATCTCCTTTTCCACCATCGTCTCCTTTTGAAATGGAAAATGAAGAAGAGATTGAAGCAGCTCAATTAGTCATATAAGCAATGACTTCCCAGGGTGCAGTGGGCATCCTGAAAGATTTTCAGCCCCCAGCTCAGTGTTTGCCTCCCAAATCAGCTGTGAGTGTGTACAAGTGTAGGCTCATGTGGACCTTGGTACAAGGAGGTTTCCAGCACCCTTTCTCTTTTACTTTTCTCCCCATCCAATTCTAGTTTAAAGAAATATCCTTGGTGATGAAATCGAGAAATGTGTTCACCTAAACATATCTTGACTATTGTTGAAGAATCTGCAGGGTTAAGGGAGCATCATGTACACAAAAATACAAACATAAATAGAAATATATATCCACAGCTGTCTGCCACTCTGGCGTACTGCAGTGGCTTGCATGCTGCTATAATACAGGAAGCTACATCTTAAGTATTTCAAATACCAGCAGAGTCACCCATGGTGGACAGGAGCCAGTGGAGTTTCCAGACTAAGACAGACTAGGAAAAAAGGGATTATGATCTGCCTCTAAAAATTAGGCAACGAAAGCCCTGTGACTCAGAACAGAATATTGTTCAATGCAGTGCTGGAAGATGACCCACAAGATTGAAAGACTCTCAAAGTGTGCAGTCGCTGCCACAAGGGACTTGAGAATATCAATGATCATGAAGATGGCATGGTACTGGGTAACATTTCATTCTGTTGTACATGGAGCTGCTGTAAGCTGGAAGTAACTCAGTGAAAACTAACAACAAATATATACGATGGGGCTTCATAGAGCTCATGGAAAAATGTTATTATCTTTTAATTTAACTTTTCTGTAACCTTTTTGAAGTCCTTCTATATGTGTAATGATTTCTCCCTGACTATGCTTAGAAACCCCAAACCTGTAAGTGCAGATATGGCCGCTGTTAACAGGAGACCAGGAATAGTGGAGCTGATTTGACTGTACCTAACAATGACAATAAAAGGAACTCTGGTAGTGTAGTGATACGAATCGGGCTGCTAACCGCAAGGTCAGCAGTTTGAAACTACCAGCTGTTACACGGGAGAAAGAGGAGGCTTTCTGCTCCCATAAAGATTTACAGCCTTGGAAACCCTGTTCAGGGTCGCTATGGGTTGGAACCAACGCGACGGCACTTAACAACAACAATTACAGTAAGAGAACACGTTAAAGCAGCTCTATGTACACAGTTTGATTTCTTGACTGCTGCTTCCATGAGTGTTAACGGCTGATCCAAGAAGAATGACGTCTTTGACAACTTCAATCGTTTCTCTGTTGATAAGAATGTTGTTTATTGGTCCAGTGGTGAGAATTTTTGTTTTCATTACATTGAGATGCAGTCCATACTGAAGGCTGTGCTCTTTGATCTTCTTCAGTAAATATTTTAAATCCTCCTCATTTTCAGCAAGCAAGGTTATATCTTTGCTGCATATTATAGGTTGTTATAAGTCTTCCTCCAATCCTGATGCCATGTTTTTCATCATATAACCCAGCTTCTCAGGTTATTTGCTCAGCATACAGGTTGAATAAATACGGTGAAAGAATACAACCCTGTTGCACACCTTTTCTAATTTTTAACCATTCAGTGTTCCCATGCTGTGTTTGAACAACTGCTTCTTGGTCCAGGTGCAGATTCCTCATAAGTACAATTAAGTGTTCCGGAATACTCATACTTCACAATGTTGTCCAGAGCTTATCATGATCCACACAATTGATAGCCTTTGCATAGTCAATAAAGCACAGGTAAACATCTTTTTGGTATTCTCTGCTTTCAGCCAAGATCCATTGGACACCCAAGCGTTGTTGACCGTCCAAACCATAGGCTCTGAGGATCAGACTTTAGCTACCTAGTAGACATAGCAAACTGTCCCTCATCTGATTATTCAGTACATGCTAAAACATGAATGATCCTCGAAAACATTGTATAGAATGAAATAAGCCAGTCACAAATGTCCATGTATTATATAATTTCATTTACATAAAATGTCTGTAACAAGGAAATCAATATATACAGTAGATTAGTGGTTGCCTAGGGTTTGGGGGCAATTGGCTGGAGGAACAGGTGACTGATACCCAAAGGTCATAGTTTCCTTTTTGAAATGATGAAAAATGTTCTAAATTTGATTGTGGTTGCCTGTATCTATGATGGTGCTAAAAATTACTGAATTGTAAAGTTTAAATAGTTTCTGAACTACATCTCAGTCATTGTTGTTGTGAAGTACCATTGATTCCAACTCGTAACGATCCTATGTTTAGTTTCCAGGGAGTGGTGAGTGAGTTTGAACTGCCGACCTTGTGGTTAGTAATCCAGTGCTTATCCTGTAGTGCCACACCAGATATCCATATCTCAGTAAAAGTATTAAAAGAAAAAAATGGATGCATGCATGACTTGTATGTTCAGACTAGCGGGGTAAAGTTAGTAGACTAGTTGGCAATTCCTGGTTCCTTCTTGCTAACGTCAGTTGTTGTTGTTGTGTGCCCTCCAATCAGTGCCCACTCAGAGCGACCCTTACAGCTTCCTTAGAGTGGGTAGTAAGTTTGAAGTGCTGACCTTGCAGTTACCAGTCTAGTGCTCATCCTACAGTATCAATCATTAATATTTATTGAGCACTTGCAATGTGTCCATGAACTGTGCGAAGAATTTGACATGTAATCATCAAGGCAGTACCACTAGGAGGGGTAAGGAGCACTGCAAGTCCAGCTAATTAAGAGCCCAGTGGTTCTGCAGGAGAAAGGCCTGGTTATATGTTTTCATACAGATGACAGATGAGAAAACCAGATAAGGCAGTTCTACTCTGTCACATGACATCACTCTGAATCAGAAATGACTCCACACATGGCACCTAACAACAGAAGTTAGGAAAGTGAGTTTCTTCCAGGAAGCCTTCCCTAATACTCACTCCCAGGCTGGGCTAAACATTCTAGTTACCTTTGGGTTTAAAATATCACCTTATTCTGAATGTACCAGTTGATCTGTGAAATTCTGAATGACAAGGGTCATGACTTCTTCATTCTTGCATCCCCAGAATTTAGCACCATGCCTGATCCTGGTACTTAATAAATAGGTTTGAACGATTTTGAGGACCGTGAACCATTTTACCTATATAATCGTAGTATTTACTGAATACCAGAACTGTTCTGCATATTTGACATGTATTGTTCATTTGATTCCCATAACGACCTTTAAGATGGGCAGGACTCTTAGCTTCTTATTACAAATCACGGAATGGGGGCAAAGAGAGATTAAGAAACTTGCCCAGGATCATACAACTCAAAGTGTAAAGTCAAGATACAAACCTGAGCATTTGTCTTGGAAACTCATTTTCTTTGTTTTTTCAGAGCTTCTCTAACAGATACACAAGTGGGCCAATTTAAAAAACTAAACTTTGTCTTCTCATGATTCTGGAGGCTTAAAGCCCAAATCAAGGTTTCAGTTGTGACAAATCTTTCCTTGTTGCTAGCCATGAGTGTTTCTAGATGAATATCCTGTTATCGGTCTTTCTCCACCTCTGTGTGTGCATGTTCATGCATGTGCGTGCATGTGGGTCTGCCTGTATCTTATAGATTCTTTTTACAACTCAGATGTGTTTAGGTTTAGAACCAACTCTACTTAGGTATGGTCTCATTAGCTTACCTAAGAAAATCTTATTTCTAAATAGGATTGCATTCATAGGTATGAGGGTTAGGGTTCAAACACTTATTTTGGGGAGCACAATCCAATCCATAACACCCATGCTTAGAACTAACTGTGTAATCTGGAAGAAATTCCTGTTCTCACATTTCTGGGTCTTGGATTTCAATGTTGTAAAATAAGATTTAAAAAATGCATGCCCTGATCATGCAGTCAGTATCAAAGGCTTGCATGGAGGGGGAGGAGCACTCCGCAACTCATAAAGCAACAGGATTATGAATGATAATTGCTGTTATGAACCTTCCTGCCTTCTTTGCTTTCCTTAGAGCTTTCCTGTTCATTTCAAGCAAGCATCTAACTGAAGGCAGCCAGTTGACTGACTCAGCCATCTGCTGCTCCCTGGTGGCTCCTGGGGAGACTTGAGAAGGTGAAAACAGGATTATTATTATTCTGACCCATGTGCCTGTACCCTCAACCTAGTGACAGAGAGGAAGTAAACAACTTGCACCATTGCCTTCTGCTGAGGTCCGGGTTCCTTTGATCTTTGGGACTTGCTTTAATGAGAACAGAGAGAGGTATCAAAGTGAACTTCAGAAAAGATGCCCCACGTAGCTGGCAGTTGTCTACTTTGATTCTCTTGATAATATTTCATTAGATTAGTAGGGCAATTTAGACTTCCTTTCTTTCATTTAAAAACATCCCTCTTATATCTGAAAATTAAATGAGAAGCTGTAAACCGAAATGAATTCATTTTAGTTTTACAACAATGATTTGTTTGGGCTCTCCCAGGCCAGCAGCTTGCTGTGATAATCTCTGCATCCGAATTCCAGCCGAGAGCACAGATGACCAATCTTTCTTAGGTAGGATTTTTGTTTTTTTTCCCCAACAAGCAAAAACACTTTTAAAATTAAATTCTAGTTGGGAATAACTGAATGCAGGTCAGTACCTCATGCTCAAAGGACATCATTATTTAAAATTGGTGATCTGGCTTTGGGGATGCTGAAGAAAAATCACTGGAAGCTGTGTGTGTGTGCTTTTTCACTACTATAACCATTTTATAGACTGGGGTAAGTTGTTAGCAATCTTCCTCATGTTCAGTTTAAGAAGTGAGAGGAATAAGTGGCACTGTGGGCTTTATTAACAAGGAAAGGAACCCTTTCCACAACCGCTATTAATTATGAAGGAACCCTGGTGTGGGAGTGGCTACGTGCTTAGCTCCTAAATGAAAAGCCAGCAGGTAGACTCCACCCAGTAGCTCTGTGGAACAAAACACCTGGTGGTCTGCTCTTGTAAAGGTTGTTGTTGTTGTTGTTATGTGCCATGGAGTTGGTTCTGACTCATAACAACCCTGTACAGGGTTTCCGAGGC